GCCCCCCCCCCCCCAATAATAGATGGTTCTGTTTAACCTGCAAGTCTTTAGTATCGATCTTGAGGTGAAAACATTGACCACACTCCCTTCTAAACAAAAATGTAAGTTTTTGGTACCATGTAGCAGTTTGATTTCTTACACACTCTTCTAGGCTGGGCTCTAACCTGCCGAGGGGAGATGGTGCCAATTGTCTCTGAGACCAACCACCTTACATTCGACACAGGGTCACAGACGGAGTGGGGACGAATCACCGTCAACAAGCGACACTCTGTTCCTGGGTTTTGCTAAACTTCAGGACCCTGTTGGTTCTACTTTTGATGCTGGGAGTTGAGGGAAGCCTTCGGCTTGTTGGCAGCTCCCGGCTGTGGGAGGGTTTCTAAGTAGCACTTGAGTTTGAACATTTGCCGGCCGTGTCCTTAGGGACTGCAGGCCTGTGAGCCCAGAGGACGCCGCCCTCCTTTACGATCATGTTCGTAGAACATAGTGCATTATCCTTCTCAACCATATCCTTACATTTATGTATCATCTCACATTAAAGTTATATTTTTAATGTGGTAAAATGACCACCGTAGAGCTCTGCCTCAGGTGCCTGCTGGAAATAAATCAGCTTGACTGACTAACACAAGTATGCTAAACAGTTTTATTTTTCTTTACATATAAATACGTAAACATGGCTTATCTCTGCATTCATGAGGGGATGTCAGCGTGTGAGAACTGAACATATTGCACTTGGTCACGTCCCGTGAGCAGGTAACATTCCGTGGGGTCCAGCGTCCGCGCGGCCGTTCCACAGCCTTCTTTGGGACTCGGTGGACCGAACCGGTCCCTCCACGTCCCCCACTTCAAATCAGTGGCCTCTGCCACATCCCGTGGTAGGTTAATTTGCTCACCTAGGGGTGGTTTAGGCCAAGACTTTGGGGGATTTTAAGATAAAAATGAGCATACAAAACATAAAAAATTAATCCAAATCCAGTGAATACGTTCATCCAAGTCAGGATTAGAGAGTCTGGGATCCAAAATAAATAACTATTGTCTCATTCTATAATTTGTCGTTGAGGGTTCTGTACAAGTTCAAGGACGTGAGAGGAGACCCACCAGCTGCCAGGGGGCACACGTGTGCGCCGGCTGGCATGCACGTAATTCTCACGCCTCCACCGGGGCTCTACATCACTCTGCTCTCCGTGGCTCTTTCTAGAGAGCGGTTCATCCTAAATAGCACATTTTTAAAGTCTAAAGTGCCAATACTTGCAAATACATGTGTCTGTAACATAGGTTAGTGAGTATAGAAGAAGCGTTGTTATTGTGCACTACTCTGGATTTAGATATTTATTTAGGTAGAAAAATGCTTTGACACTCCAGGGAAATAGGGTTCATTATAGAAGAATATTTCAGGGAAATGTTTTTTTTTTGTTTTTTTGTTTTTTGCATTTTTCAAGGATATACATTCGTACTGATTTTTGCTTCCAAATATATTTTAAGGCTGTTTGGTAAAATATATACCAGATATGAGGTTCAATTTACAGGGTGGTGTTCTTACAGGGAATTTCTTAACTACTGAGCTTAAAAAAAGTAAAACTTTGAAGCCAGACATGCTTTAGTATCTACCACTGTGCTCCGAGGAAGCCCATGCTTGGTGGGATGGAGACGGGGGCCTGCAGGCTTGCCGGGGGCCGGCCGCTTCCTCACTGCGCTCGGGCAGGGCACCCGGTGCGAGAGGGCCGGGCGCGGCTTAAAGTGCACGTCACAGGCAGGACACAGTGCTACAGCAGGGGGCCGGGAGGCGGCTCCGCCGTGGCCGAGCCCTGCCCGAAGCAGCCCACGGAAGACGGAAGATGTGGCGTCGGTGCAAACATCTGTCGTGGCTGAAATCCCGCGTTTGCCGTGAGGGACAGGGAGGACTGAGCGTGGGATCAAATGGAGCAATCTGATGGGCGCTTCCTCCGGTCATGGTGTCTGAATTTACGCCAACAAAGCCTTTTCTTCAGTCCGTCCTGTTGCTCTCGGAGGCCAATCAGACCCGTGAAAACCGGTCACCAGAGTCCCCGGCTGGAGGTCGCCCCGTGTGACCTTTCCCGTGGCGTCTAAACCGGGCGGGAATGACCCCGGACCTCAGCGGTGCCGCGTAGCACGGGGCAGGCCGGAGGCGCACAAGCGTAAACCGCGAATCTGAGACGTGCCGCTCACATTCACATTCGAATTCCTTAAACCTTTTACAACATCACAACTGTTGTTTTAAACAAGCAAACTTTGTTTTTTTTTTAAGGATACCCTGAAGAGTCACCTGACAGCTGTGTGAGAATATATATACACATCTATAAAAAAAACCACAGGTAGCATGAACGGTGAAACTGAAAGACAGACCGGCGTGTGGTGAGTTACGAGGGAAGGAGGGGCTCTGGGAGGGGGCCGCCTGCTCCCTCGGCACCCCCTGGGTGAAGGGACATTTCACTCACATTCTGATGGTGCTGGACCCTCCCCAGGGTCGGACCTGAACCTCTGGGTTATGGAGAAGCAAGTGGCAGGGAGTTTGGTGGCAGGAGAGACGACGTCTCGTTACCATAAACTTGGCACAAGGAACTGAGAGGTGGGTCAGCGGGTACTGGGGGAGCAGCCCCAGGCCGGGGGGGGTCTCCCCTGCACTTCAGGCTGTGTGCCTGCCGAGGGGGTCTAGTGCCTCCAGGGAGAGGGGGAGATGAACCCGTTTGTACCTGTGTGTTGTTCTTGCCTCTATCTCACAATTTATAAAAATAGAAATAACAAAATGTGAGCTGGGTCCCATCTCCAGAGGTGTGTCTTGCTCTCCCAAGAGCAGAGTGGACCAGTTCGGGGTCCCCACGCCCGCCCATCGCCGCTGACTGCGAGCCAGACCATCCGGTTGATAAAAAAGAAGGCGTCCCGGCAGCGAGCTTGGCAGGCTCTGGGAACCACTGGCGCCCAGGACGCACGGCGAGGGGGGAGACACGCAACAAGGTGACAGGGAGGGGACCACCTGTGCAGGTGTCTGCTGAGAGGACAGGGCGAGGGCGGGTGGTGTCGCCGCCTGGGGTCCCTAGAGCCGGGTCTGGGCCTCGGGGATGTAGATCTCAATGCTGTCGGCCCGCTCGCTGGCCGAGTTCTGGCGGAAGGACGCGGCCCGCTTGGCAGCCAGCAGGCGTCTCCGGGCTTCTTGCCGCTGCCGGTCGGGCAGGTCCAGGGACTTCTCTCTTGTGATGGGAAACTTCCCTTTGGGGGGCTTCTTTGGTATTGGAGGGGGGACCTTCCGTTCTTCCTGAAAAGTATCACACAGTTGTGGGCGTCAGGGGGTCACCCGGCCATGAACTTGGGAGCATGTGAGTCACGGTCACACAAACTGGCTTTCCCTCTAATTACCTAGACACCCCCTCAGCTACGTGCCCGTCGCCACTGCCCCAGAGTCTGCCGAATTTATTTCCTTTACCATTTTATTTTAGGAATGTCGGTCTAGAAAAATCTAGATGTGATTTGCTCAGAACGTCTCTGAAGGGGTTAGGAAGCCAGTGTGCTTGTTGCTAATTCACACCTGTCTGTGAGCCCTACCAGAGACGCTCCCCTACGGGAGAAATAAAACTGCAGGGTTCAAATTTAGTGGGGACATTTCAGCCTATTTTAAGGCTGAAGGAAGTTTACATAACCAAAGTATCGATAAAGTTCAAAGTGTCTTGTTTTCAACTGCAGATGTACAATTAGGAAGTTTCTCTGTGTAGGAGACAGACATTGAGACCCTGTGGGAAATCCTCTTAGTACGACCCAGAGAAGTTGGATGAAAATAATTCAGAGGATAGATCCCTATGAGAAACGGGACTAGATCCGTCCGTCATTTTTGGTGTCTTCTCTGAATTGTCCGTGACCAAGAGATGCAATAGGAGAGAATGTTACTACCAAAGGCCATTGACTTGAATTGCACCCCAGGTTGTATGTGCACACACACACGCACATGTACACACACACGCATGCACACATGCAAACGTGTATACACTCACCTGCACACACAGGTGCATGCACACACAGGTGCATGCACACACAGGTGCACACATGCATACAAATATGCACACACATGCATGCACACACACGTGTACACACAAACATGCACACACACACACTTGACCCTGCACTGCTAACCAGAGACCTAGAGACACACTGTGTTTGGAGCAGACCAGTCCAGGCAGAGCCTGCAGGGCGGCTTGTGGGGGGACGGCCTTCAGGGGCACACTCACCTTTCTCTCCAGAGACTCTGTCATCTTCCAGTCGTTGAGTTTCAGCTGCTGCAGCTCATCGAACTTCATGCTGACGTCCTCGACCGAGAGCTGGAGCATGTCCCAGTAGCCTGCCAGGTCCTGGGAGGTGGGTCTGGGCATGGCGCTGGGGTCCTGAGAATTCACAGCAGATTTAGAGCCAGAGCTGGCAGGGGTTGGGGGGGGTTTGGGGGAGCAGACTAGGGAGAGGCCGAATTCCAATTAGACACAAATATTCACGAGGGCCCAGTTTACACAAGTATTTGCTGACAGTTTAAAATCTGAAAAGGCTACACACTGTGTGACTCCAACTCTGTGGCATCCTGGAAAAGACAGAAATATGGGGACAGTGACAGATCAGTGGTTGCCATGGGGGTGGGTAGAGGGGCGAACAGGCGGAGCCCAGAGGGTTTAGGGCAGTGACTCTACCCTGTGTGGTGCTAGAATGATGGACACAGGTCATCACACATTTGTCCAAACCCACAGGATGCACAACACAGAGCGACCCTGATGTACACTGTGGGCTCTGGTGAGGATGACATGTCAGTGCAGGTCCATCAGAGGTGACAAATGTCCCACCTGGTGATGGTGGGGAGGCTGTGCATGGGGCAGGGGGGTAGAGATGTGGGAAATCTGTGCCTTTATCTCAATTTAACTATGAATCTAAAACTGCTCCAAAAAATAAAGTCTATTAAAAACATATATTGTTCATTGTATCGGCTCATTGTTTCATGCTGAACATGCTTCCTTAGAACCTGGGAATGGTGGCAAATAGTAAACTGTTCACGTGCTTGACACTTCACAGAAGCCACAGGGCCGTGGTTTTGGTGGGAAGACTGGTGCCTGCTCAGGGGCTACAGGGTCTGCCCAGACCTCGGAGGCCATGACCAGGGCAGCTGTCCCTCAGCTCTTGACGGCAACGACAGCCGACAAATGTACCTTAGCGCCCACGCTGAGAGGACCAGCAACTAAATCACATGAGGGAACGAGATGATCTCTCGGCTGGTTCTCTGCACTTAGGAGGGGCGGGTGGTGCCCCCAGAGCCACCGAAGGCAGCTGTGGGCCGAGTGTGGCCCCACGTCCTGTTTATTTCTCCACACAGTGCCTGATGGACAGAGATTTAGTGGGTTGTCTTCATTTAAAATTAGGCAACTTCCCTCCATCACAGGGCTGGCTGCTGGGCCATTCCACCCTCACAGCCCTGGCCAAGAACCACGGCCATGGCCACCTCTCTGGCCCCGCAGCCCCACATCCCCAGGCTGCTGCTCGCTGGGCACCTGGCCTGCCTGTGGGTGTGTGAGTTTGCAAGCCCTGGGTGAAGGGTTTAGGACGGCTGGCGAGTGGTTCCCTGATCGGGGAGGGCCTGTCTCATTACACAGTCAGAGGAATTTCAGGTGGGTAAATATTTATCTGAACTGGCTTGATACGTGCAATTTTCAGCTTTCTCTAAGTCACTCACATTAAGCACAACGGGAACTTCAATTTGGTTTGGTTTAAACTTCCTTTAACCTGGTCTCAGTCTGTGTGGGTGGCTGGAACAGAAATAGCAAGACCAGACTCAGAAACAACAGGCCTGGACTCTCCTCCACCTGGAGGCCGAAGCCCGGGCTGAAGGTGGGCAGGGTCCAAGTCTCGGGGGGCCTCTCTTCCTGGGCTGCAAGAGGCGTTTCCCCCTTTTCACCTGGGTCCTCACAGGGCAGGCGGGGGAGGAAGCTGGGTCCCTTTCATGGGGACACAGATCTCATCACTGGGCTCCACCCTCATGACCTGGTGACCCCCCAAAGCCCCTCCTCCTGACTCGGTCACCCTGGGGGTGAGGACTGCAGCCTGTGAATTTGGGGACGCAGACATTTGGTCAACAGCAACCTGGTTTGATATCCGTGTCAGAATGTTCAGTTTCGACCCCAGCCCCTTTCTGCAGAAAGCAGCCTGGCGGCAGCTGTGGGGACAGTGAGTCTGAGGGTAGGAACCTGCCCCGTGACTGTCCGTTTCCTGGGCGGGAGGCTGTTCCAGGGCTGACCCACCAGGGGGCACCCTCGGCCCGTCAAAGCCCAGGAGCTGCCGGCAGGTTGCACCCGGTCCCCTCACTCCCGAGTCAGCTGGGCCTCTGCTGGGAAGGGGCCCACGGCAGCCTTGCCCGTCTCCGCGATGGCAGCCTGTGGATCCGACCCCCGCGCGCCCGGGAAGGCTCCCTGCCAAGGACGCGCTGTCCTCATCAGAGTCTCAGGGGAGCCTGCCGTGCCCTCCTGACGTCAGGGCGCCAGGAAGGTCGTCTGGCTGTAGGGTTGGGACAGTGCCGGCCGCTGCTCCTGGCAGGTCCCAGGCATCGATGGCTGGGCCCCAGTCGTGCCTGCGGTCCAGGCGCAGTCCCCCCGAGGGCGGGCACCTGTCTCTACCGTCACTGCCCCGGGCTGAGGAAGCACCGTCCTCTGAGCTCCCTGGGAGCAGAGGCTGGGCTGTGTTGTAAGGGGCACCGCCAGGGCCTGGGGGAGGGGTGCATCTGTGCCCACCGCTCATTCGGATCCCCCGGTGCGTTTATACGTTCCTATAAATGTCACGGGTGCCAGGCCCTGCCCCTTCCCCAGCAAAACCAAACTCGGCTGCGTGTCCTTGTGAAACTGCAGCCACACGGGGCCTCACAGCTCCCTGCTCTGACAGCAGGGCCCCTGACGTGGACTTGATGCCCCCAGCTCCCCCGTCTCTCTCCGAGCCAGCGGTGCTGAGAGGGGCCGGGGGGCCCCGCGGACACACACAGGACTGTGGCCCGCTCCAAACGTCGAGTGAGACCCAGTGGGTCTGAGGCCACTCCAGGTTTCTACCGAGCCGGCCGGGACCGAGCTGCGGGTCCGAGGAGCGCACGTGTCGCCCACAACTCCACGGGCAGACTCTTCTCGCTGTCTGGACCCAGAGCCCTCCCAGGATCATCGGCACAGTCATCATGTGATGAGTGACCTGCACACCGGTTCCCTTGAAGAACATTTGCTCCCTTCAGCGCATCCTAAACATTGGGCAGGTTCGGGCTTTTTTCTAGGGTCATTTATTTGACTTAAAACTAGTTACTGACCCTAAAGCTACCAGCAAGTAGCAATGTTGGTACCAAGGCCGTGGCTTGAAGACCCAGGCAGCTGCCTGCAGCTGAGCACCTCTCCCCAGCCAGGCGGCCTCAGACTCCCCTCAACTCCCCAGCAATTGCTTCAGGGTTTTTTTTAATTTGTTTTGTTTTGTCTAATCCTGAGAGACACTAACAGGAAGGGAAGCAGCCACACCAGATATTCCAAAACGCAAAAGGATTTTTTAAGGTTAACATAAAATGTAATCAGACATGTATAAGAGGCATTGAAAATATCAGGATGGATGCTTTTTAAGTCTAATATTAGATGCTCTGGAAGAGAAAACATGACTGTTTTATAAGCTAGAACAGTGGGCCTCTGCGACAGGGAGGGGCCTTGGACAGTGTATCCCCAAGACAGTGACGGGAGCTCACCCCACGCAGGGTGGTGGCACCAAGCTCTTTAACGCCCAGTCACCCTCTACAGATGATTAAGCAGATCTGACAGAGGCGAGAGTGCGCCCGGTAAACACGACACCGTCGCTGCAGTGACACGTGTCTTTCAGGGAACTCCGGGCTCCCTGCTCCCCCTGTTAAACGCTGACGGTAACTTCATGTCTCAACAAGAGGGTGGTAATTTCATGGTGAACTTTAACAGGGTTAATTGGAAAATATCAGAGGAAACATACTTTTAAATGGTCCTAATTAAAAGGGATGAATTGCCAACTCTGGGTGCTATGCTCCCTTTGATGCTTAAGAGCATGTGTTAGATTCAGTCTCCTTGCAAATTAAAGAACCAAAGCAGCCAAGCCACCTAGCAGGCTGCTCGGGAGCTGAGCAGCGACTGTCTGCACTTCAGTGGAAGTGTTTGTCTGGAAGAAATCAACACATGGAGTATAGAACGGCCTATGAAGTGACGCGAATACTAGTCAGCTGTTCCTCCAAATAGTATTGAGTATTTTTAGTCAGATAAGGAAATGTGAACACATGCACACAGACACACACACATGTACTTATACATCGATGTGTAAATAAGCACACATGTATTTATATGTATAATTATGTTTGCAAGTTGAAATACTTATATTTATATATAAAGAAGCATACACATAAATATTAATATATAAATAAATATATATATGTATGTTTGTTTATAAATAGAAATGCTTATATATTTGTATGTATATAAGCATACATACATATAAATATTCCCATATAAATAAGTATATATAAACATATATTAATATGCATATATATAAATATATGGTTTTTCTTTCCCTCCGATTTTCAGGAGCATCAGAACGAAGTTTAGTATTAACTAGTCTAGATCAACGGTAGGTTCATTTCACTCCTGACTAAAATATAAAGCCCAAGTTATTTCTAAATCTCTCTAGTCCCTGTCAATGTGGCTGTTGGTGTGTTGTGGTCAGGCTGCCTCATCTCATGGCCTTCGCCTGTGGCATTTGCCTTAACAGCCGCTCACTTTTTCCTTTCCTCAGGCTCAGGGCAGGCAGCCCAAGTGCGAAGGCGACAGGGACCCCCGGCTCCCGCAGGCCCCGACCCTCTCCCACCAACACCCTGTGGGGCACCCTCGGGGCCTTGGCTGCCCCGCTAAACCGTCCAAAGCCGGGCAGTGCCCTCTCTTCACTCAACAGTCTGCAAACTCACAGGCGTCTTCACAAACGAGGCAGCGGAGAGCCTGTGAAGGACGGGCACCGAGCCCGCCAGGCGCCAGGTCGGCCGGGTCCACTCACCATGTTCTGTTGGCAGAGCCAGTAAAACTGCTGGAACTTCTGGGACATGAGCAGCTGGGCACTCCCCACGGCGCTCCTGATCTTGCCGAGGACTGTTCACGACAGACAAGCAGGAAGAAAGCCCATCAATCAGGAAGCCCCGGGGAGTCCGTCCTACAGAGTCAGCCGTCCTGTTACCTCAGACTCAGACTCGGCATTTACTGCTCGGACTTGTCCCCGGAGTAAATGCTTTTCAGCTCCTGATTCACGAGGGAAACGCAAAGATGACCACGTGTAGCCCTGGCCGGTGTGGCTCAGTGGTTAGAGCGTCGGCCTGTGGACCTCGGGTCTTGACATGTACCTGGGTTGCAGGTTTGATCTCCCCCCCCC